GCACAGCCGCCCCATCCACGGGGTCCCCTCGCACGAAGCCCAGGACAGCCTGTGGCTCCAGAGGTGTCGAGAGCACCTTCCCCGCAAACGCCACGCACGAGACCCTGCCCCGTGACACGTCGTCGTGTGTGTGCACATGTGAACGGCCCACATTTGCATGTCAGCGACTGAAAGGACGGCCTGTGGCGGCCGGGGCAGCGTGGCTCGGGTCCACACACGGGCCACACAGAAATCACGGCAGCGAATCGCTGGCGCGCGGCTTTCACGGCCCGGCTCAAAAATCAGCATTTAAAATAACACGAGGCCCGTGAAACGACCCTTTTAAAAACGTGCCCCGTGGTCCCGCCACGACTGAGAAGTCTGAATTGAGAGCTTAAGTCTTGTGAGTGTTGCTGGACCAAAGAAAAGGCTACGATTCGTGTGTTTACGGACCAAATACTTTGACGCGAAACCAGAGAGCAGACTCAACCAAGAAACAGACAAAACGCGAGAGAAAGCGGGGTTCGTTTCTCGGCGAGTCGCGCTGTGCCCGCTCTGAAGAGCGAGAAAGGTCTGGCAGGTGTGAACGCGGCTGCACACGGCGGCTCGCGTGTCCGCACGCCCCGCTCCCTGCCGCCGCACGGACACCCCGTTCTCACTTTTCTCATTCTACATTCCTGGAAAACAAAACCCCCAACGAAACCACCGGGAGCCCAAACGGCCGCCCCGACTTCTGAACAGGGTCTCGCTCTGAAGGGCAGCCGTGGCCGCCGCTAGGCAAGCGGACGGACTCCCGACAACGCTGCTGCCATGCAGGGAAAGGCCAGGGGGCACCTTCGTGCTCCCTGGCATCGAGCGTCTCACCACGGGGCCCACCTGCACCGACCAGGCGTCCCTCCCCACGGTGGCTGGAGAGCTGTGTGAGTCCCAGCGTGCAGCCTCAGCCCCTGGGCACCCGTGGGGAGAAGGCCTCACCGCCCCCAGGTTGTCACGGCGCTGTGCTCCCACTGCCCCACCACCGACCGGTCTTTCTGGGAAGCGGGCACCGACTCCCAACGCGAAGCCGCCCCAGGCTCCCGCCCCTGCCGGCTGAGCCGTGTGCGGAAAGCTTTCCCATCAAGGCCACTTTGCGTCCGTGCCGTCTCACGTTCTAACAGGTTTTCGCTGCTGTTTCCGTTTCCAGGCTGCAAGTTCAGACCTGAGACACAAGGGGAAGACCTGTGCCCTGCAGTGGATCTCAACGCCCCCATCTCATGCCACCCGCCACCACCACCGCCTGCCACGGAACCTGAGACACGGCCTCACACGCCAGGAACGACCGTCCAAGTTCACGGATCACACTGAGCCTGACGGGTGAGGAGGACGGAAGAGGCTGAGGCATGGGACAGCAGAAGGGCTACGACTCCAGCAGGGGACGCGTGCCCCTCTCCAGGAAGGCTCCTGCGGGGGCTGGGGGGGCGCACCTGGACAGCTCAGATACACAACCGCAGGGGGAGGCCCTCCAAGCCGCCCCCTCCCCCGCCCCACCCAAAACAGGTGGTTTGTAGATATTCTCCAGAAACTTCCTCTGCCCCAGAACAAGCAGGGGCTTTGACAATTGCCCTGGCTTAGCCAGTTCATTTCCAAAAACCCCGACCATGCAGACCATTAAAACGGGGGGCTGGCAAAGGACCACATCGTTGGTGCCAACTCAAGTCCTGAAGGGCTTCCAGGAGCATCCCGGGGTCAGGCCACACGACCATGATACCTGCGAATCCCTCCCATCAGCCCCATCGGGAGGGCACCAGTTACAGCCCAGCCCCCAGCCCCCCGGGATTCAGGTGGGAAGCTCGGGGCTCAGGGCCCTGCGTGCACGATGGACGCCTTTAGCCTGCACTGACCAGTCTTCGGGGACTGACTAACTCGGCGCAGGCCACATCCGCGTCAGCGCTCTGCCAGAGGCGGGGTTCCAGGGCGCCAGGGTCAGCGGACCGTCCCCCGACCTCTCAGCAGGGAGCCCCTCTTGCTCCCCTGCGAGAAATAGCCAGGCCCAGTCTGCGTCCTGCCTGTGGACTCGGGGTCTCCAGCCGCGCAGACACGGCAACAAACGCCTGTCCGTTCTCCTGCCAGCAGAGAGACGCCCACCCGGCCCACGTGTATGTTCTAGTTGCGGGGACAGAAGTCCCAGCGCCCAGGAGTCTCCGCGGTCCCCTCCTGGGCGTGGCCATGCAGCCTCCGGGCCTGGGAAATGTGCGGCAGGGAAGCCTGAGTCGGGGGAGGCTGTGCGCTCCCCACTGGCCTCTGTCAGCCTCAGGAAAGGCCGCTCGCGGGGGCACGCTGGCCGTGTCCACCACATCAGCTCCAGAAGGACGCACGGGGGACACAGAACAGCCACTCCCGTAAGGGGTCCGTGGCCAGCACGTGCTCCCCGGCCGCTTGGGGCTCTAGCTGGGCTCCCAGAGCGGCACTGGAACAGCGTGCGTAGGTGTGCATGCAGGAACACGTGCGCACGTCCACAGAGACACGTCGTCCGCCTCCTACGGGGCCTCCTGCTGCGCCGCCCTGACCACAGCCCGTGTTCTGACCAAAAAATAAAAATAACGAATGAAGAACAACAAACGTCTTGTAAATGCGGTTGTCAGCTACAGCGGAAAACCTTCCCTCACACCTGGCCTGGGGTTACGGGGCCCATATTTCCAGCCCCAGAGGCAGAGGGAACATATTGCACACCTGGCCGGGAAGCGCCCGCGGGCCCACGGGTGGCTGTCAGGGGGGCGGGGCCTGAGGCTCAGAGCAGGAGGGGAGGCGCCAGGAGATCCCGGGAGACCACAGCAACGTGGCTGGGGGCCGTGGGACCCTCCAGTGCAGGTAGCAGCTAGTGCACACAGGTGTTCACGACATCAGGGGCAGTAACGCCAGGGCTGCTGTTGGCAAGTGCCCGGGAGGAAGTCTGAGCCGGGGGCCGGCAGGGAGGCGGCAGTTCCTGGCAGAGAGCAGCCCCACAGCCCTGCTCCCTGGCCTGCACGGGGCCGCTGCACCATGAGGCTGGTGGCTGGAACCCTGCCAACGAGAGTCCGCACGGTGGGGTTTGCGGCTGGCAGCCCACAGCAACCAAGGGTCTGCAGGGGAACCGTCCCACAGAAGTTTGCCTTCTGGACCAAATCCTTGCCCACTGGTGAGCTGTGGTTCCGTGTGGTTCAGAGACCCGCTGGGGCCACAGCACCTTCAAGGATGGACCGGAAGCTATGGGCTCCCCTGGGGCAGGACACCCCCTTCACACATCGCCTTTCCCCACCCTCACGAGGCTGCCTTTTAGCAGGACACTCTTGGGGCAGCAAGACAGACCAGGAGGCTTGCCCGGTCGGTCACCCGAGCTCCCCTGAAAACACCGGAGGCCAGGACCTGGAGGGGAACAGCATACATGCCTCGGGCCCTCCCCACTGCTCGCATGGCCACCCCACAACCCCCTGGGGCACAGCCGAGCTCGCGGGGAAGCCAGGCAGGGAGCACGGCCACCATGGGCTTCATGGGCCTCAAGAGACAGAATCCAGAAAGACGCTTCCGCCGCTGAGCTCTGGGGTGTCTCCGACGGCCCCCCGGGGCCTGCGCCTCAGGGAGGGAGGACAGGGACCCACAGCATAGGCTCCAAGGGCATCCCCAGGCTCAGCGACTGACCGTCTATGGAACAAAAGTATGTGGGAGCTTGCAGCCCTGAGTTAGGGATGGAGGAGCCCGGGGCCAGCCCCGTGTTCACTCCTGTAGAGCAGAGTGTGGGGAACCCTGAAGCCTGGGAGCCCCGTCCAGCCTGGGGGCGATGGCTGGCAGCCAGACACTGTGGCGGAGAAGGCTCCTGTGTCCCCGGGCCACCTTGCCCTGCAGCTTGGGAGAGATGGGCCCGGTTGTGCCACCCCTTCTGGAACAGCAACCGTATGTGTGAAGGCCCTTCCAGAAACACTCCTCGCCAGCCTGGCCCCAGGGAGGCACACGGAGCGTGAACACGGCAGAACTGCGACGTTTGCGCAGACAGTGGTGCTGGGAGAAAGCCTTCATCGCTCGGTCGTGACTTTGAAGGAAAACAGCTAAAGGAGGCTGCAAGGCGCCGATCCCAGAGACAGGGGAAGCCAGGGTGGTGTGCCGGGGAGGCCGGGGGCCGTGGGCCCACGCTGTCCCGAGCTCACACCCCCACCTGAGTCCAGCAGCCAGGGAGCTGGGCACCCAGCCCTGGAAAGGCTCATGCCCAGAAGACAAGAAGCGCCAGCGACAGGGGCCTTGGCACCCACGTACACCATCCACACAGGGCTGTGAAGGCACGGACTGGCCTGACCGTCCTGGGCAGCCCACAGGGCCTCCGGTCACACAGCTGACCCACGAGCAGTCAGGAACCAGCATACAAGAGGGCCGCCAGCCTCCACGCAGCTCAGGTGGCACCTCGGCCCCAAGGATCGTGACCGTGCGGGGTCGACGCACCCGGAACAACGCAGTGTCATCCCCTGATGCAGGGCGGAGCCCGGCTCTGGATTCCAGCACGCGGCCCACCAGCTGGGGCGGAGAGCTCGTCCTCCAGCACCCTGACCGGGCACCTGCAGCCGCGGTCCCGCCCCGAGGGCCGTGTGCTCCGCGGGTGGGGCCCCACTGGCGAGGTTCTAGTCCGGTTCCGAGCCCCCCCCGGCCTTATTCTCCTTCCTGGGGGCACCTGATGAGCATCGCAGCTCCGCATGGGAAAACGCTAACCACCTTCAGCCCGCGTCCGCAGATCGCGTCCTCCACCAGTGACGCTCTCACGAAGCCCCCAGCAGGAGGCCCGACCCGGAGTCCCGCTGCCGACGGTGCCTCCAAGCGACCGTGGCCTCGTGTGAGGCCGTACCGTGCAGCTTCTGTCCTGTGGGACCCCCGCCACCGGCTCCGTGGGGCCTCCGGCCGAGGCGACACGGCCCAGGGCCGCGAGACATGCTGCCTGCACGGACGTGTGCGCCGGTGCACACTCCTCGTCACACGCATGTACAGCGCCAGGCGGTGTGTGCGCCTCAGGCCCCGGCACTTACCGTCGTCCAGGTACAGCTGGTCCAAGTCCTGAGGCTCTCGCTTGACCGTTACGGGAATGGGGGCCAGACTACGACTACCGTCCTCACGCACCTCGGGCGGCGGCAGAGGCCGGGGGGCTGTGGACTCACTCCTTGGAGCCTTCGGCCGTTGGGGCAGCTGGTGGCCCGTCGCGGATGGGCGGGCGGGGCCGCAGGGCTGCAAACAGGTCGGCTCTTGGGTACCGGGCGGTGGTGAGGAGCAGGGGCTGTCAGGACACAGAGCTGGCCGGCGGCCTGGGGGACGGCCAACGCTGAGCTGGGGACTCACCTGGGGTCGGAGCAGGGCGGGGGGCGGCGGCTGGGGGGGCCCGGGGTGCACGCCCACGAGTCTCGGCGTCTCCTCAACAGCGAGGACCCCTCCGGCCGGCCGTGGAAGTCCGAGGCCCGGGCCGGCCACGCCCTTGCTGTAGGTGGCGGCAGAGAGGTCATGGAGCTTGGGGCTGGTGCTGGGGGGCGGAGACACCATGGTGCTCCTCGGGGGACAGGGCAGAAAGCCGGGCAGCAGGCAGGAGCCCGGGTCTGGTGGCACGGCCAGTGGCTGGCTGTAGCAGGGCTTAGGGAGAGGGCTGGGGCCCTGGCTCATTGGTCCGCATGTCAGGGCAGGCTCATAGTCGTCGGTGGGCTCTGTCTTGATGGCTGGAGCTGTAAGAAGCAAAACACGGGAATGAACACGGGCTGCGGATGGGCGTGATGGATGGCCAGGCTGCGGCGGGGACTCCCCGGGAAACAGACAGCGTCTTGACGGAGTCCCCATGTGTCCGCCTGGGTCTCCCACCCAGTTAGGAGGAGGCGTGAATCCCCGTCTCCAGGAAGCAGCAGCTGGTTCTAATACTGAGAACACTGTTGTTCTTGGAACCCCCCAGCACTCATGAGCTATAAAATCCCATTCGCAAACGGCAGTAGAAGCTCCGGACCCAAGGGCGCACAGATTCGTAGGAATGAAAGCAAAAATGTTAACTTGGATGTACAACTGCGTTCCTCCCGCTACTGACGCCCCGAGGAACGTCTGCACGCTCGGTGATCCCGCACACGCGCGGGGATGGCACAGGGCATCCGTGAAACCCAAGAGAAACTGTGTGGCGATCACGGTTGGGGAACACACCCTCCCAGGCTCCACGTCGCAGCAACAGGCCGTCCCAGCCATGCAGCCCCACACGGCTCTGGGGTCCTCCTGTCCCACCCTCGCCAGGAATCGGGGCCATGAGGCCGACAGACGCGGGGGCCCTGTCCGACTCTGTGCCGGGCCTCTGCTTCGACAGAACGCCGGTCAGAACACAGGCAGGCGTGCTGAGGGGTGTTTGCAGGGCCCACGGTCTCCCCAGACGGCCCCTCCTGGCCCCACGCACTCTCTGGGCCCCATCTGCTCGCCACGGTGCCCAGCAAAGGGGGCCCCATGCCAGGCACCTGCGCTGAAGGCCTTGTGGGTACCTCCTGCCCCGCATCCACCTCTCCGTGGCGTAGATGGATGCGTGGCAGCCTGGAGGCCTCGTACATGGGGCCCCAACCTTCACCTGAATCAGAGCAGAGCACGACTACATCATAAGTGCAGCCAGAGCCATGTCAAGGACGGGGCACATCCTACCCAAATGCGTGTGGCACCAGCGTCCCCTCACCTCCCGCTTGAGGGTGCCACGCGCTCCATGAGCAGCAGCTCCCAGGGGTGTGACTGCCTCAGGTGCTAGCGTCCAGCTCCTGGGGCTCTCCACGGCATCGCTCTCCTTTGCTTTCCTTCTTGGGGACAGGTGAGCCCCACAGGGAGCAGCACAGTTGCGGGGGGTCTTCACGCCAGGCCCCCACGGGGCACGGGGCTGGTCAGCATCCCCGCGTGGCCCCCGCTGTGTCCACTGTCAGGAGGGGTCAGTGCACCCACATCACTCTCCCGCCCCTTCGCTGGGAAAGGGGTTTCTCTCTCTTTCCTGGAACTGGGGGTCAGGGCTCTGGCTGAGAACGAGCCCCAGCAGAGAAGTGTCTAGAGGAAAGTCCCGCTGGTTGCAGAAGGGACCTGAGAAGAGCTGGCTCCTCCCTGCGTGGCGTTTTGTCACCGTGCGTCTATCATACATGCCCTGGGTTAGCTGACAGGTCCCCGGGAGAAGCTGGAGCCACTGAGGGCCCAAGTGCGTGTCCAGAGGAACCTGCCTCACTCCTTATGGAGACCACAGTGTCCCCTGGCCCCAGCAGACGGTGTGCAGCTGGCTCGGGGCAGCAGGGCACCGGGGACCACGGAGACCCCCAGCCTGGTCCACACCTGGGACACAGCGTGTCCCTGGGCAATGGTGTTCCCATGCAGAAACACTGCGGCTATGTCAGGTCACCCCTCGGGAAGCCCCCGTGCCCAAGGGACTTTCTCCCCACTTACAAGCCACCAGCAGAGACCACCACTGGCCCTGAAGCTACTGAGCCCTCCGCCCCTTCCCCCAGTCCATGGCCTCCAGCTGGGCAGCCCGCTCAGAGAGGCCGGGCAGCGCAGCCTGACGCTCCCCTACCCCAGGGCTCCGCGTCCACAGACCGGCGGGATAGACAGCTGGAGCCCGGGGCGACTGGCACGGAGCGGGTGTCGCCACACTGAGCGGAGCACAGAGCTCGGCTCTGCTCCTCTTATGTGGAGAGGGAGCTGTGCGGCAGCTGGACATGTCACCCAGCAGGGGGACCGTCCCTCCCGCTTCTAGTACGTTGACAATCCAGAAACGGCAGAGGGGACAAAGTCAGCCCGAGACGCAGACTTCACTTTCTGACATGGCCCCGAGGACGCCGACCCCACGAGACGCCAGGGCGAACAGAGGGCGGAGGTCGACTTCTACATCAGTTTGGTACTTCTCAGAGTCCGTGATCTCAGGAGTATTACGTACGTCTGGCGGATTAAACTGAAACCCTTCTGGGACTCGGCCTTTGCTGCGTGGATTTCCACCACACATGGGGGCCAACTTGTCTCTCCCATAAGGTGTCCCGAGCTCCTTATAAACTCCCACCCGTCTCCACTGGGAAACAGCAGCACGCGTGACTCCCCTGCCTCGGAGGGACAGCACGCAGCCAGCGGCCGGGACCGGAGGCGGGTCGGAGGCTGCCTGCCCTCGGTGGCAGGAGCGAGCGGGCGTTGGCCCCCTTGTGCACGACCAGCGGCCTCTGTCGTTATCACCAGTTTAAGGCTACGCGGTGGCACCGGCAACAAGCGGCCCGCCACTGGGCTCCCTGAGACCGCTTCTGGGAGAGTCCCCACAGCGCCGTCTTGCAGGGCCTCCGTGTGGGCCCATGCCCACCGCTGCCAGGGGACACAGGACTCGCATCACCTTCTGACGGCTGGCGTGGGGGCACAGGGCAGGGTCACGGCAGGGCCGACGCAGTGAGGCCTGACCCCACCCGGCACAGCGCTCCGGGTACCACCAGGCTGGGCCTTCTCTGAACAGACATGCTCCCTCCCTGTGTTTGTAGCCGCTGCCGCCTGCCGGGGTGGGCCTGACCTCTGCCTGCGGCCCCGGGACAGGTACCTTCAGGGGGAGAGATGCGGGGGCCCTTAACTGACACGGTGATCCCTCCGCAGCTCGGGGGGACCCCAGGCCGACGGGTCTTGAGGAGCAGTGCAGGCCGACCCCAGTGACTCTGGGCTAGGTGGTGGGTCGCAGGACGAGCCAGCGGACTGCAGGCCAAGGGCAGCAGACACAGGAGCCCCAGCGCCCCAGGGACATGGCACAGCCTGGAAAACAGCGCCTGCTGCCCCTGTGGCTCCCACAGAAGCTCAAGGGCACGGACACGTGGCATCCAAATTGCATTTCTCATGTGGACGCAAGGGAAACGAGCCGGGAGAAGACGCCTCCTGTTTCCTATTAGTGGGGGACGAGCGAGGCCGCGTCCTGCGCGGGGGCCTGGGGCGGTGCAGGAGGCTGCTGGCGGCCTCGTCCGCGGCCCAGAGCCACTTCCTTCCAGACCAGCGCTGGGTGTGACGCAATGTCTGGTTCCCTCCCGGCGTCCACCTCGCTGGCCGGGGCGGGAGGGCTGGTGACAGGAGGCCCTGCCACTGTGCCAGCCGCGAGCTTACGATCCAGATTTACTGCGGCACGCGAACGTGTGAGGGATTAATGCTAATCTTGAGGGCGGCTGCTGAGTACAAAGCCTGTTCTCATGGAAAAGGTGCGGTGCCCTCCGGGCCAAGCTGGCGTTCACACCCTGCAGGGCTCGCTTAGCACAGCGGCTGCGTCCCGTGGAGACAGCATGTGTGCAGGAGACCAGGGAGATGTCCCCTCGGCTCCCAAAGCGACATGCCCCGTCCTCAGTCAAGGGGCAGCCGCTTCAGGCAGGGGCCTTGTCCCTGAGAAGGGACCCCAGGCCCCAGAGCCAGGCGGCAGCACCCTCTCTCCTGGGCCACGGGCGGACAAAGCATCCAGCAGCAGATGCAGGGCATGGCAGGTGGGACAAGCCTCTCCCCCAGGGGCCCCACGCCACCCAGAGCGCCCACGAAGGCTGGCTGTGGGCCAGAGAGCATTCCAGAACAGCCCAGCCGACCTCGAGGAAGCCCCACGTCGGCGCTTGGTCTCCGTCCCGCACGGCAGGGACTCCCATTCCCGCGAGCACGGCAGAGCCCCTCCTAGGAGCCCCAGCTGGGGTCGGGGGGCTCACGGCGGGAGCAGCCCCTTTCCAAATCGCACGGACTTGGGCTCAGGGGCCTCGCGGTTCACAGATGTGGGCGGTGCGGCCTCGACTCACAGATGTGATCAAGAAGCGTGGGCCTTGTGACACCCCATCCCACCTCCTTCACACGTCGCTTGACACTGAGCGTGCAACACACAACCCGGCCAGGCTCAGGGGCTCCCAGGACAACCAGCCTCCAGGGTCACAGCTGCCTGGTTACACAGGGATGCCACACACGTGCTGAATGTCCACCACTGGCTGCTTCCGCAGGTGAGTGGGATGGAGACAGCCAGGGGCCCTAGCCTGACGGCGACGCACCCCCAGGCCAATAGTGGGGCCCGGGAGCAGGGCTTTGACCACCCAGGGCCCTGCCTGGATGCAGACGGCAGTGGCGGCCAGGACTAGCTCCTACAGGCGGCCCGGAGTGACGTGACGGGATTCCTGCCGGGCAGCGCTCAGACTGCCCCAAGGCCTACTGGACCGCCATTCCCAAGCACGCAGGGGGACACCATCCCCTCTTACACGTATCCACCCCTCCCGTGTGCTCCCTGTGTCCTGCCTGTCGTCGGGCGCAACCTGTCTTCTAGCTGAAGGGCCAAGTTGAGCGATTCACTCTCGCGGTGCCGTTTGGGCCGAGGCTCCAGCCCAGGGACCGCTGGAGGCCTGAGGTGAGGGGAGACAGACGTTCTTCCCGCTCGCAAGGGAGACGTCGGGACTGGGCCGCACCGAGCACCAGCACCTCACGCACCCTGCTCTCTTCTCCAGGAAATCACGATGGCTCCCAGCAGGCACAGAACGCTGTTCCGCGCGTCCGTGATCGCGTGCCCAGCGCCCGGCGCGGAGCCCAGAGCTAGTAACAAAGGAGCACACGACTGAAGGGTTCTCCGGCTCCGGAGCCGCGTGAGCAAAAAGGACACACTTCCACCTGCGTCTTTCCTTTCAGACGTTCCCTCTCGAGCGTGCCGTGTCCTGCACACACGGACGGGCCGCGGCCACAGCTAGGGATGAGAAGTCCGTCCCTT